ACAACTTTAAGTGTCATCTTAAAACTAGGTAGGTGATTTTCTCCTACTAACTCCTGTTGGAAGGCTGCTTTAGAAACTTCCTCTAAATATGAGACACTTTAATTTTCAGCCTAAATTAATGGCCAGTTTATAACCAATTTCCATCTTTTGTCAACATTGGGTTCATTTACATGTTCTGTTAATGCACCTTAAACTTAATGCACAGTAAATTATGGCACAGTAAACTTGCCCCAGGAATGCATGTACATGTGCAGCCTCTTGGACGCAGATTTGCTTCCAATGGGAGTAGGCAGATCCTGCCCAGCTCTGCCCCCCTGCAGGAGCCAGGGGGTGCTGCAGGCTCTTCCACAGCTGCCTAGGTGCCAGTGGGCTCTGGGGGCAGGCTCTGGGGGCAGGCTCAGCTTGGCAGAGGGCTCGGGGGGGCAGGCTTAGCTTAGTAGGGGACTCAAGAGTAAGGCTTAGCCTAGCAGGGGGTTGACCTGGCAGGCGGAGGCTTAGCCTGACAGCTGGGGGCTGATTGGCTGGGCAGCAGCTCTGCAGAAAAAAAACATGAGGTTACAGTGGACGGTAAGTTGAATATGAGCCAACAGTGTACCCTTGTTGTCAAGAAGGTTAATGGCATACTGGCCTGCATTGGTTGGAGTATTGCCAGCAGGGCAAATGAAGTGATTGTTCCCCTCTATTCAGCACTGGTGAGGCCACAAATGGTTAGGGGACTGGGGCACATGACTTACAAAGAAAGGCTGAGGGAAGTGGGCTTATTTAGTCTAGAGAAGACTGGGAGATTTTGTAGTAGCCTTCAGCTACCTGAAGTTGGGTTCAAAATAGAATGGATCTAGACCAGGGGTTGTCAACCAGGGGTATGCATACCCCTGGGGGTACTTGGAAAGGGGCTGGGGGGTATGTGTGGGTGGGCAGGGATGGAACGCCACCACTCACCACCCTGCAATGTGGCCTTCCAGGAGCAGGGCTGGCGGTGGGGAAGGCGGTGTTGAGGGCAGTGGCTCCCCTCTGCGGGCTGTACAGGTTTTGTTCAGCTGGCTGGAGGCAGCAGGGGGGGAGCTCACATGAGGCAGCCGCTGCCGCCACCATCCACCACCCTGTGCCACTGCTGCTGCATGCAAGGTCCCCACACTGTGCATCTGGCTACCGCTCCACCAGATGTTTACCCAGAAGGGGTACACTCCTTAAAAAAGGTTGAAAACCCCTGAGCTAGACTGTTCTCAGTGGTGACAGATAACAAACCAAGGAACAATGGTCTCAAGTTACAGCAAGGGAAGCTTAGCTTAGATTTTAGGAAGAATTTTCTCACTAGGAAGGCAGTAAAACACTGGAACAGGTTACCCAGAGAGGTGGTGGAATCTCTGTTCTTGGAGGTTTTTAAGACCTAGCTGGACAAAGCCTTGGCTGGGATGATCTAGTTGGAGATGGTCATGCTTTGAGCAGGGGGTTGGGTTAGATGACCTCCTGACATCTCTTCCAACTGTAATTATCTGGTGTCCAGTCTGCTGATGGCCGCGCTACCACATACAGGCTGCCATGTCCTCCTAAATGTGGACATTTGACTGGCTGCCTCAAGCAAACTGCCTCTGTACCTTCGTGTTGCCCAGCACCACTATGAGATTGGTTTCTCTCTTTCTGACCAGCTGGGGCCCTGGGACAGCATCTGCTGCACTGGGGAGGCTGCCATTATGGCTGCTTCCAGAAACCTCAGGGGCTCAGGATGAAACTCCAGGTGCCAATGGAGCCTGGCATAAGCCCACAGTGAAAGGCTCTGGAAGGCAGGCAGCCAGCTGGTGTAACAGGCCCTGGGGGACAGAGCTGGGGTCTCTGGACCTGCTGTGGTTGGCATATGTTTGTAGCGGAGAAGCATGGTGCCTGGGGGAGCAGACAAGTGGTGGAACAGGCCCCAGATGCCCAAGCTGGGGTTTGTGGGCCTGGTGCAGCCGGCACATGCCCACGCTCCTCAGACCTGATGCCTGGGGGCAGGCATCAGGTGGCACAGTCCTCAGCGGGTTAGGCCAGGGGTCTAACGGCCAGGCCGGGATAGCCAAGAAGTTGTCCCTGCCATGTGGCTGGAGAGACTCCTAGCCATATAGCTCTGTCCCAAGCAGGAGGCTAGCCCCCTGCTGGTCTTGCTTACCAAGCATGGATTTGCAGCCAAGTCATCATCTACATGTGTACTACTGTGCAGTAGCTAGTGCATGGTTAATCTACTACCTGTATCTACAGGTAGTAGCCAACCACACAGTAAAAGCAGTAAATGCTGTATATGTGTAGACAGTGATGCTTTACTGTGAAGTAGATTAGTCTACTGCACAGTAAAGCATCTCCTATAGATATGCCCTATGTCCTTTAGATGAAATAGTTCTTCTTCCTCACTGGTGTTTGTCTCTCTGATACATATGTAGACAGCAATTATACACTCTCTCAGCCTAAATAAGTTGGGCTCGCTTCACTCTTCTCTTGTAAGAGAGGCTGTCTGTGTCTTTGATCTTTTTTATACTCCCATACCAGGTTCAGTTTTCCTATCCTCAATATGCCAGAATTGCACGCGGTATTCCAGATGGGGTCTTCCTGGAACTTTATACAGTGGTATGAATACCCCTTTAGTTTACTCGGGAACATCATGGCTTTACCTTCAAAATAAAATTAAAAAACTGCATCAGTTCTGAACATGATCTGAAACCTAAAGGGAACTCTGCAGTTCAGAATAGGAGTACTGCTTGATTTTTGGCTCCTTCTTACATCTTGGGTCTTAAGGAGCAGGGCCAAGTAGAATTATTTTTAAGCATCTAAATTCCATCTAAATCCTGGTAAGGGGCCTGGATCTGGCCCATACTTTTTTGGTCATATCAGATCATCTTTAATCTTGACCCCAAACTCACTGCATAGAGGTTCTACTATTTCTCTTTTTGTTCCCCTTTAATTTGTATGGCTAAAGAATCTTTTGTTCCTTGTTTTGCAAAGCTTCACTTATTTTGTTTTTAGCAAATCTCACTTTATCCCTATACTTTCTGACCTCTTAAGCGCATATTTTTTGCTGATCTGCTCCTTTTTCTGTTCGGTGTCTTCCATCCTCTTGTTTGCCCTCAATTTTTGTTTGTTTCTTAATCATCTCAGCCTTGTGCAATATGGATGCAATCTTACATAAAAACATAATCTTGCCCCATGATGTTGATAGCAAAATTCCTGTTAATTTTTCTGGGTTCATTTAATTCCTGAAGTTTTGTTTAACAAAGTCCCTTCTGACATTTGGCTAAAAAATGCACCCCAAAGCCTCAGAACATAAATAAATGCCTTTGTTACATATTCATCCATAAATGCACCATAAGAGGCCAAGAGTGACACACTCTGTTACCTCTTGGACACAGTGAGACAGAAATTTTTAATTTCAGGGGTACTTCTACAAGGTGGTAATATAGACACAGTCTACTATGTATACAGTCCCTAGTGCAATAAAGACTTTACTAGGAGTGCACTGATAGAGATTTTGGGAGCCGATACTATTAGCTGATTTTTAAGGTGGCATATTGGCTGATAACGATCCATTATCTGATACAGCTGTGTCCAGCTGATAAGTATGTTGTAGCGGAAAGGGATGGGGAAGGGAAGGGTCGTGGGGGGGGCAGATCAATGCCCCCAGCGGTGAGGGATGGAGTGAGACTGGGGCAGAGGCAGACTCTGCCCAGCTGGGGTGGGGCAGGGCAGGGTGTGGGACAGAGCCATGGCTTGTCCAGTGGGGACTCTGCATGCACCCTGGGAGGGCATGAGGGGGTGCATGTGCCCCCTGGATCTGCATGGGGTGGGGTGGGCTGCAGCTGCAGGCTGGAATCAGGACTGTGCTGGGCTCTTCTTGGTGGGGGCTAGACTTGGATCAGGAAGCAGCAGCATTGGGAGGGGGCTGTGGAGGTGGGCTGCAGCCACCCCAGATTTTACCACAGCCCCCCCCCCAACGCCCCCTCCCAGTGCTGCCATCACCTGCCCAGTGCAACCCCTGGCTCAACCCCTGCTTCCACCCATGCACTGGGAAGAGCCAGGGCTCTGCTGGGCAGGCAGCGGCAGTGCTGGGAGGGAGGGTTGGGGGGGACTGCAGTGCTCCCCCCCATAGCCCCCTGCCAGCGCTGCTGCTTGCAGCTGCAGCCCACCTGCCCCACCCCACACAGATCCAGGGGGCATAGGCCCCCCACCCCACTGCACCCAGCTGGACAGCCCCTGCCCCACTTCCTCCCGCAACGCGGGGGACATTAATTTGCCCACTCACATCCCTTCCCTCCCTCCCCCCTTCAGTCACAATGAACTTAACAGCTGCTGGGCTGTGCTCCTTGCTGCCTGTGTCCTGTGCTGTGGCTGCATGCGTGCACGGGCATTTATCGGCCAAATTATCGGCCACATCTGACGGATTTCTGATACACACAATCTTCTTTATATCGGTGCTGATCTGATATTGGACCGATCTAGGCTTTACCTATCCTGTTAGTTTGAGTTCACTTTTCCAGTGCATGTAAGTATTATGATTTTGTTTTCTTGTTACTATAATATTGCCCTTTTAGGTGTCTGCTAGAGGCAGTTTCCGTCTTTTCCAGTTTAGATACAGCCTGCTATAGCAGTGATTCATAGAAGGTTTACTTATATTCTTTTTATTGTTCTCTCTCAATGTAAAGTAGAAAAGTCACTTAGATTGAAAGTGTATAATTGCCTTTTTTGTATGGAAAACTATAGCTGTCACAGCCTTTCTGGTCTTTCAGTAACTGTTATGTGAGGCATTGAATCTAAAAGACTCAGGCAATTTATCTCACCTTTTATTATGGAAAATTAATTTGGTCCATGAGGTGTGACTCTGCAGTAGCTGATTGTTTCAGTGATTTTGTGAACATTTTCAGACATGTATCCTGCAGTTTTTTGCCCTTTTCAAATGCAAATGTTTAATTAGTTCTCAGTGAGATATAGTTTCAAAATGCATGTACTATACACTCATGGTTTCTTTTCTATTCTTGCAGTGATCTGCTATCTTCTGAGTATCTTGAGAGACATATTGAGAATGGAGGAAAGACAGTTGAAATTAAAGTAAGAAAGCTTGCCTGTTTGTTTTTTTCCCCCTTTCCTCCCAATTTTTAAATGCTTTCTTTTTGGCTTAATGGATATTACCCCATTTTCTTATCACAATGGAATTCTGATTTTAAGGCAATTTGAGGAACGAATTGCTCTTGTGATTCAGATAAATATTGTGTCATGTAATTGTTATATACATACATTCTTAGAACACATAAATATGATTAACAAATCAACATAGACTAATGAGTTATCGCTATTTGTACCAATAAATACAATTTTCTATATATTTTAATATGTGCACTCTTAAGAAAAATGCAACAATGACAATCTTATGGTCTACAGGTAAGGCTTGTAAAAGGTCAGATTTGCAGCTTTTAATGGATTTCCTCATAAGGATAGTTGTTTTTGGTATAAGATGTTTTTCATAGTCAAACCAAATATCTATCAATCTGTTGGTATCGGAGGCTTATTTCTTGGAAAGTTTGTAGTAGCTGTCTGATAAGAAATTGCTGAGATTATGCCATCTGTGTTTCAAGGTATTTCCATATTCTAATGCTATATATGTTTCTGTTTAATCTGAAATATTTTTTCAAACCTAGGACTTTCACTAACAATAGAGCTAAATCCATTTTTGCCTGCAGCTACAAAGTAGCTGGGAAAGAACCTTCTGTTTGCAAAGATAATATCTTGTGAAAAAGCAAGAATAGAAGTAATGTAGAATACATGATGCAATGATGCAGCATGTATAGCAGAAAGGGTGGGAAGCATAAATAGCTTCAAAAAATACTGTCAAGTGTAGCTAAACCCCAAAATTAAATTTTGTAAGAATAACCTTTTACTAAATTATTAAGGCCCCTGACAGATGTTAATCATAGAAAATTAGGGTTGAAAGGGAGCTCAGGAGGTCATTTACTCCTGGACAGAGCAGGACCATCCCAGCCAAGTCTTTCTCTAACTGGGTACTAAAAACCTCCAAGGATGGAGAGTCCACAGCCTCTCTGGATAGCCTGTTCTGTGCTTCACTACCTTCCTCATGAGAGAGTTTTTCCTAATATCTAACCTAAAATGCCCTTGTTGCAACTTGAGACCATTGCTTGTTGTTCTGTCATCTGCCACCACTGAGAAAAGTCTAACTCCATCCTCTTTGAACCACCCTTCAGGTAGCTGAAGGCTGCTGTTAAATCCCCCTCTGTCTTCTCTTCTCTGGATTAAATAAGCCCAGTTTCTTCAGCCTTTCCTCATAAGTTATGTTCCCCAGCCCCCTAACCATTTTGGTTACCCTCTACTGGACTCTCTCCAATTTGTCCACATCTTTTCTGTAGTGGGGGGCCCAAAACTGGTCATAGTACTCCACATGTGGCTTCACCAGTGCTGAATAGAGGGAAAGAATCACTTCTCTCAATTTGCTGGTAACACTCCTATTAATGCATCCCAGTATGCCATTAGCCTTCTTCGCAACAAGGGCTCACTGTTGGCTCATATTAATTTTATTGTCCGCTGTAACACCACCCCGCCTCCCCCCCCGGTCCTTTTCTTCAGAGCTGCTGCCCAGCCAGGTGGTCTGCAACCGGTACTGATGAATGGGATTGTTCCATCCTAAGTTCAGGACTTTGCACTTGTCTTTATTGAACCTCATGAGATTTTTTTATTTAGTTCATTCCACCAATTTGTTGAGGTCTCTCTGAATCCTAACTCTACCCTCCAGTGTCTCTACTACTCCCCTCAGCTTGGTGTTATCTGCAAACTAGCTAAGGGTGCACTCCATCCCATCTTCCAGATTGTTGATGAAGATATTAAACAAAACCAGCTCCAGGACCAACCCCTGGGCCACTCCACTTACTACCAGGGGCCAACAAGACATCAAGCCATTGATTACTACCTTACAGGCTCAATGGTCTGGTCAGTTTTCTATCAACCGTACAGTCCATTCATCCAGCCCATACTTCCGTAGTTTGCTTGTATGAATGTTATGGGAGACTGTATCAAAAGCCTTGCTAAATTCAAGATGCATCACATCTACTGCTCTTCCTGCATCCATAAAGCTAGTCATCTCATCATAGAAGGCAATCATGTTGATCAGGCATGACTTCCCTTGATGAATTGATGCTGACTGTTCCTAATCACCTTTTTATCCTCTAAGTGCTTAGAGATAGATTCCTTGAGGACCTGCTCCATGATTTTTCCAGGGACTGAGGTGAGGCTGACTAGTGTGTAGTTCATTAATCCCCCTTCTTCCCTTTCTTAAAAATGGCACTAAATTTGCCCTTTTCCAATTGTCCAGGACCTCTCCTGATTGCTGTATTTTCAAAGCTAATGGCCAGTGTCTCTGCAATCACCTCACTCAACTCCCTCAGCACCCTTGGGTGCATCGCATCTCACCCTATGGACTTGTACACATCCAGTTTTTCTAAACAGTCCTGAAGCTGTTCTTTTGCCATTGTTGGCTGCTTACCTCTACCCCAAACTGTGCTGCCAGGTGGAGCAGTTTGGCAGCTGACCTTGCCTGTAAAGACTGAGGTAAAAAAAGGTCATTAGGTTGCCTTCCCCATTTAGTAAGGGACCCACACTTTTTGTGATCTTCCTTTTGTTGCTGACATATTTGTATAAACTCTTTTTGTTAGCCTTCACATCCCAAGTCTATGTTAATATGAAGGAATGATGGGATCTGGTGCAGGATCCCAACAATTTTGCTTCCTGCCATGCTATACTTGATGCACAGTTGTGGGATCCCACATGAGATCCCATGGCACCATGTTGTCATTGTAGGGGGATCCTGATATCAGGCTCCCCCTGCACTATCTAGTAGCCAGGTTGGCTCCCTGTGCTCCCCTGGCTGGGAGCCTTGATCAGCTGAGGAGCGCTCTGGAGCACACAGGAGTCTTAGAGTCCTGTGTGCTCCCGTGTGCTTCAGAGGCTGGGCACTGGCCACATGCTCAATTAAAGGCATAATAGGAACCATGTGGGTCCCATGCCCCTGCAGTCCAGCAATGCAGCCAGAAGCCATGTGGTGCAGGAAGGCAGAGAAATGGCTGGGGGTGGGGTGGGCCCTGGCTTCTGTCATTTTTGACAGGCAGCCAGGAGCAGGTAAATATTAATTTTCTAAATTTTTTTAGAGCCTTTGTGGGCCAGATAAAATGGACTGGCAGGACAGATCTGGCCCATGGGCAGTTTTTTGCCCACCCCTCTGTTAGGTCCTACTACAACATGAATAAGCATAAAGCATCTTCAATGAGTATTGATTCTATTCTTCTTAGAATGTTATTGACCAGATTCCAAGAGTTCTGATGTACTCTATTGCCTTCCACAGAACGTCAGATCAGCAGGTTTTAACTCCTACTGCTCCTTGCCTGCCTTGTGGCCTACAGCAGGTGTCTTGTATGCTTTCAGTTCTGTATTTTATTCTGAACACATTACCGGATAAAACAGACAGACAGACAGACATGTTCAGTTACACTCTAAAGAAAAATTTCACAGTGAGCCTGAATTACAAGTCAAGAAATCTGACTTGAATCCAAAATTTGACTGTAAACAGAAATAGAAGATGGAAGTTGAAGTTAATAAGAACAAAACCATTACTCAGTTTCTATCAGGAAATATATACAAATTGGCAAAGTTAAATGCTCTTTGGCAGTTTTACCAAATGAGGGACAAATTCTTCATCCTTTTCCTGTGAGTAAGTCTTACTTGAGTAAGCAGTATCTTTTGACATCACTGGGATACTTTATAACTAGTGACCAGTTGCAAGAGTGGGAAATGGTAGGACTGGGACATTAGGGTGCAGGTTCATAGAATCAATGGACCACGTCTCCCTGCAAGACCACTGCAGGTATCTCGGAACCACTTCTCTGATTGGTGATTGCATGGACTACTTCTCCTTTCATTTGCAGTATGATATTCCTGTGCATCTATAGCAATTGCTTCTTTGCAGTAGATGTGTACCTCAGTCTGCTCAGTGTAAGGTAGAGCACATTGTCACATTACCCCAGGTAAAGAGGATGGAACTGTAAACAGGCATCATTTTGCCTCTTCTTTCCCCATCCTCTGTGGGGAAAATAATGTGCACCAGCCTCCTTCCACATGTGGCTTGCTTCCTTGTCTATCACATACAGTCTCCTTCCCATGTACCTGCCTATAGAGTGGAAGTAATTACCTTTGGGGTATTGCTCTTCCCACTTCGATGTAACTGGTAGGCTGGCTCTCCATGGAGTGCACTGAAGTGTAGTATGAAATTTCTGTTAAGTTTTAGGTTTTTAAGTACCATTTAATACCTGGAATCAGTGTGATCTGGTGGCCCCATGGCCAGAATTTTCAAAAGAGATCATTAACTACAATTAGTGACAGATTTTCAAAAGAGCTAAGCTCCCTGTCAGGCATCAAAATAAATAGCTAGATTTTCCAATGAATGCTGCCTACTGGGAGATTTCAGTGCTGAGCATTGAATGAGACTAATTTCACTGCCTCAACAGGAGCAAAACTCTCGAATAATTTGGTCCCACATGACCAGCTAGCTCTGCAGGCCTCCAGCAAGTGTTATTATTGGTCCCTTGAACGCAGTTTGAGAATCATTTTCTTTAGATACTGAAAGAGAAAGGAAAAGGCAAAAAGTGCAGCAAGGTTTAATTTGCATTTGAGAAGCTAGATTCTGTTTTTGCTTGAAATGCTTCTTAAAAACATATTTTCTGACATAAATTTTTTACATGATGGTAATAATTCAGTACCTTAAAATGGTGATGTTATTGTTTTACTTGTAAAAGCCTGCTGGTGGTTACCTGGTGTTAGTTCCAACAATAAACCAGTCAGAAAACATAAGGAAATGTTCAGATTACTTAAATATTAAAAAAAAAAAAAAAAGTTAATGGAAGGGACCACACTTCCAAGTAAAACAGATTATGTAATAAGGGCCACATTGTTGTGTACAACATCCTAAACCAGTGAGGGCTGACCTTTTGGGCAGGCATGCCACAAATTAGCCCCACATTGTCCCTGAGTGCCACTGCAATCCCCTTCCTCTG